CATGGAAAACTGATTATCCCAGTCAGTTCCACGAGGGAGTGATTTTTGTTCTTTCAGTCAGTAGGTTCAAAAGCAGAAGCGGAAATTCATTAAGAAAATAATTTAAACCACTTGCAAGTCTTCTTTCCCAAGCTAGAAGTTTGTGTAAACTAATCTCAGGTAAACTGAATACATAGAGGTTATACACCGAAAACATTCAAGTTCAACGTTATTTCCTCGTATTTTCATTGGGCATATTGGTCCACAAAGATGTGGAAAGTTTATATTTTTCAAGGTCGTTAAGTGGTTTTCACCTTTCAAATAGGGTAACAATTTTCAGCTGGTGTTTCTTTCTTTCTTTATTCGATAGGCGATAAATAATACGTGCTTAATCAGACACAGCATTTGCAACCTTTTCTGAGACAAAAGGTTAGTTGTTTCAAACGCATGACTTCCAGACAAAACTTCATTTATTTTACTTCCATTTTTGAATTTATTTATTATTTTTATTTTATTTTGATTTACAGCTTGATTCCACACTGTATTTTCAGTACAAGTGTGGAATTTTCAGCATGGATATCGGTAGCCCAAATTGAGGCCGACCATAGATATCGCCCAAGCTTACAATAATGCTGAATTAAATCTCAGTAATTCTGAAATAATTCTTGCATCCTATAGTGAGTAAATTCTGAATCTGTTCTGAAATGGTTTGTTTAATGGCACAGACTAGAACTCAGTGCTGGTTTTCAGCATGACTAGAACGAATTCAGCACCGTGTTCTTTTTCTAGGCATTTTCAGGAGTAGATCAGAACATACTGGGTTTCCTTATCAGCGTTGTTCCAGCCATTACAGGACATAATAAGCACTGACTAGCATTACTTCAGAACGAAAAGACCTAATTCAGCACATAGTGGCAATTTTTTCAGCTTAATTCTAGCCTTCTCAGCACATATTCAGAACTGACTAGCATTACTTCAGAACGAAAAGACCTAATTCAGCACATAGTGGCAATTTTTTCAGCTTAATTCTAGCCTTCTCACCACATATTCAGCACATATTTAGGCATGCAGAGCTTATTTTCAGCATTGAAGGCATTATTTCAGATGCTGATCTTTTTTTAAGATTTTGTCGCATTAATTCAGCACCCAGCTCTCTTTTTAAGCACGACCAGCGTTATTTAAGAACATAGTGGGTAGAAAAAATTTTCATTTACCATAAAAAGGCATTATCGACGCATAGGTTAGAATAAGTTTAGAATTGTTGTAAGCTTGGGCGGGTGTGCACCGGCAGGGGATCGAACCCCGGACCATGTGCATGGTCGGCGAGAGTCCTAACCACTGTGCCACCGACGCACACGACTTTGCTTATAAACTGAATGCTGCAGTATTCAGTAGCACTGGATGATATATAGGCATTCAAAATATATTTCATTCAATTTATCTTATTTTGTACACTAGCATTCATTCAGCAACAAACCTGGATATAATAACAAGGACATATCTTTACATACGACACTGTAACAACGGTGCCACCTTTATTTTACCTGTACAGTTGTATTCAAAATCTTTCTCTGCAGAGAAAACACCATGGTGTTCGAAAGTTAAACATGACTGATGTTTCGATTGGGAAATAATTATTATGGTTGTTGTTATTGTTGCAATTTCGTTATTACCGCTTTTGATTCTTCTTAACTGCACCAAACGGCTGATTTACTCCTGTCACACAATGGTCACAGACTTAATTCCATATGTGTCCCAAAAACACTGTTTGGGATAAAGCTATCATTATTAAAAACAGACCATAATCTACTATTCAGAACTACCCAACCTCCAACGGAATTCTCAAATGCTACAGCGGGTGAAAAAGCATGACTGACACATAGAATTTCACCGAAGACCAGGAACCTTTCTATTATTACCAAGAAAAGGGAGAAAAGAAATCAGTTTGGTTTGTACTAATCTTCAAAAAGACGCTAAAATGATTTTAAATAATACGTAAAGGCTTTGGTCGCTGTTTGTTCAATTCATAGTTGGTTACTGATAAAGTGAAATTTTTGGTTTTACCTGGGTGAAGTTATTATATTAACTGCTTTTGAACCATTGGATTGTAATTGACCAGTATAAGAAGTTTGCAAGGGATCATTTTACAAATAACCAAGTGTTCGAGCAGATAAAACCAATAAGCGCGTAAATACTGGTTTATGCAGTGAAGCCTGTGGTTACAGTCCTCAAGGAAGCAGAAATAAACATTTAAGCAACAGATAGTATAAATTCCAATTTTTAACCGTAGCTTACAAGTAGGTCAGTTTTCACTCTCCTACCAGTTATATGCAACATCATATCTTTTATTACAGTTTCACAATTCAAATAGTGGTTAGGAAACCGTGTGCTCATTTTTGGAATTCTGTATCCAAAAGCCTTAGTCCGCCTACTAAATATTCATCTTCCGTAATTTAAAAATAATCATGCATACGCATATTTATTGTGTATTTTTTGATATGGTAAACAAAACAGAGCAGCTTGACTGGTTGCTGAAGACCACAAATCCACTATCATAAGAATACAAAAGGCATCTCTGGAATAAAACAATCAGTAGGATCAAACAAGTTTCGTTCCCTGATGAGGCTACGTTAATTGAATCTTTACCCTTAAATTTATCGCTGTCTGATACGCCCTTAGTTTTTCGAGTAGGAACATCACACCTTCCTTGTCCTAGAGGTGTTGCTAGTCTCTCTAGCCGTAAAATTAGCGTTAAGAAGTTGTATTGTGTCAATGAATGCACTTTACAGAAAATATACTTTTAAAAAGGTTTATGTAAGGTTATCCAACAAAATAAAAATTACACATGTTGTATGAAAAAGATGTCCAATGCCACCAACTTTATTTCATTTATGTGATAAATGTGCTATCATGTCTCACTTTAGTTGAATTCGAATTTTCAGAAACCTCATCGCTGCCAGAATGAAGTTCTGACTGACCTAAAGTAAAAGGGTAGTAAAACTATTCTGGGTATCTACCATTTCGCGTACTCCTGATTATGTATCACACCTAGTAAACTAATTGCTAACCAGGTCTAAGCACATACACAAAAGGCACTTTGAAAAAGACTTAGACGATTTAGCTTCCAAATACAGCACAAATTCATTGGTTTGTAGTCTGTTTTGGAGAGCTACATAAAGAGGTGTGAGTTATGAGACTGGAGTTCTAGTGGTGTTAGAAGTCAGTAGTCCATAACATGGGGCAAAATAGTTCACACCAGACATTCGAACTTCAGGATGTCACCACTCTTTAATATGCAATTCTTATTCAAGTTCGCTCACTGTGTCATCATTCCATCTAGCTCATTCTATTTCTGTTTTTCACACTGTTCAAAGTGTGACAAATTAAAACGTTTCACGTCCACACAAAGTTAGACGTCGATTAATCAGTTGTCTATCCAGTCATTCGGATGATAAGCAATCCCTTGATAAAACGGATCTTTGAAACTGTTTAATGAAGAAAATATAATTAAAATTTTACCTTATCACTTTATTTAAACCCGGTTTCGTATACACCAACAAGTGGTGAAAGGCATCACTTAAAAACAAAAGGTAGGTAAACTTTGAGAGAAGAATAAAATGCCATCCTCTCTGTGTGACTGTCTTCCCGAAAACACAAACGAGCCGTATGGTTACCCTACTATTTCACCTCATCTTTGATGGATGTCGGCGTTCTGCAAGATAAGTTACTAGTTCGTGTGTTATATTCAGCATTTGTTGAATATTCACTATAATCGTACAAAACACAGTTTTATCGACCATAAGTGTTTTTTGTATTTGGTGGCTTACATTATCCTTTAGCCAACAAGTACTAGAAAACCACACTTCATGTCGTTTGTTGTACAGATATGAGCTCCAAAGACTAATAGTGAATAATAATTCCGACAGAGAATTTTTTCTTAAACAGCTGGAAGTACAAACCATTCCCTTTCGTACATGATATGTATTTCATGTAAAAATGTAGTTCTACTTTGGCTCTTTAACCAACTGGTCGTAGTTATGGTTGTGAGGTTATATCATTATCTCAGTATCTGAAAAAAGAGAGTATTATGGCATAAACATATTTAAAAGTCACTTTAATTATCTGGTTAGGCTGGTTTATTTATAGGATTGTTATCTAGTGTGACTAGTAAAGTAAATATATCTTACTCACTTTCAGGAAAGAACACCTATTTGATCATTATAAATTTTAAAAAACTATTTCAATAGTTAGTGTGATCACGGGTATTAAGTTCTCTCGAAATATAACCACACAGAAACTGATCATTGTGAGTAAACTATTGAATTATAATTATAATTAATTAGAAATACAACCGATAGAGACCGAACCACAGCTAATATGTAAAAATCTCGGTATATTCATTAAATCACAATAGCAGCAGATTGAACGAACTGCATACCGGAGTAAATGCATCCTTTGAGCCAGTACTCAACAGTAAAAATCTGTCTGTGTAGGTGACTTTGAAATTAACCAAATTATTTGAAACAACCCTGACACTAAGGGAAATGACTCCAACGTTGTCAAATTAGTAGGGTTATATTTAAAATGCCTGGATTTGATTAAATCCCCGAAGTGAGTACTACTTCTCAAGTATTTCTAACTAATTTACAGGCTATCAAGCAATTCATCTTAACTGTTAATAACTTCAGTCAGTATTGTTTTAAACTCTTAATTTAATAATCAATAGTCAGTTTTTTAGCTGCCACCTTTAACTGTCCATCAAATGAAAATACGGCATTTTAATGATGACGCTCTTCGAGAAGGTTCTGATAACCCATAAAATGAAACGAAGCAGTTAGCTTTTAACAGTTCCATAGTTGGTGTTGCTTTCTGATGAAGTCTATATATATATATATATATGTATATAAAGAGTTCTATTATTTCATCTGATATATTGTTGAGTATAAATAGCATCAATATCATTTTACTTTTCAGTACATCATCTTGTCTGGTGGTATAAACGGAACTTTTTAACTACAATAATGTCGAATACAGTGTCAGGAAAATTGGAAAAGGCTCACAAGAAAGGACAAAAAGACAGAGATTCAATACAAAAATCGATACAGGACAACATAACTCAACTGGAAAATGAAGAAAGGCAACTAGAGAATGAGCTTAAAAAAATGGCTAGAGAGGGTAAAATGTTTGCCTGTAGACCATTAGCTCAGCAATTATCTAAGATTCGCTCTCTAAAACGTAAAATGTTTGGCTTTAGCGGCCAGATGAATGCCATACAAACAAAACAAACAACTTCACTTGTAACAGCAAAATGCGGAGAATCAGTTGAATCGGCTACAAAATCCATCAAAAGCTATAACAAGGTATTGACTGTGTGCCACTAAAACTATCACATTTACAATTTGATTTATCAACTATAATATCGCGTCCAAACTGCTGTCAAACTATTCACAATTGATTCTTCCTCCCTACTTTGCTAATTTAGCGTTCTGATGCCTAAACTAAAAATTAAAATAGAAACACTCCACATAGTTTTAAACGTAAGCAGGCATACTAAATATGAAGATTGTCAAGTGCCCTTCAAACCTCCTTCCTGTCTGTAAGCGAGAATTGAAGTTTAGTACCGTTGTTTCCCATTCCTTTTATGAAATAAACTTCATTCTGAAAAGTGGTGGTCCTAATACTTGTGTCCCATTTTTCTACATCTAAAGTTTTCTGACAAATGACTTTTAACATCTAAGATCAAAACTAGTTTCGCCAAATCTGTAAACTGAAGGGGAAAGTTAGAGTAGTAATTTATCCGATGCACATGCTAGTGGCAAGGGATATTTGTAGCTCAGAGTTTCAATGTCTGAGAACACTTCATTTTAGAATAAACTCCTGAATTATGTAGTGAATTTTAACGGAAGCTAAATTAATTTGCAGTTAAAAGATGTTCTATCAACAGAAGAACTATTTCAGCATGGAAAGAAAACCAGATAATGAAATAAATTAGTGATCTAACATCCACTATTGCTAATCTAAAGACCATTAATTGAAGTATTTATTTTAAAACTTTCAGCCTTTCCATGTGTAAAATGTTTAGTTCTTTCGTTGTACAGACTTCTTATTGAGGGAAAATTTAACTATTGTTAAATAACCTATTGATTGAATTTTATGCGAATGGGATAACTCACTCTAATAGAGGATATTTTGTTAGAGTAATATTCATTTGTGTTTTAACTGATTAACGATCCCCGTTAAAACAACAGCAACTGATTAGTGAATAAAGAAGATTCATTTTGATAAATTTGTCATCGGGGTCTGCTTCTATATGGCAGAAGTAATTCAAGAAATATTGTTGTTGACAACGTTAATATTTTAAATAATGTTGAAGCAATAATATCGATAGGCTACAGTTGCATAGAATCTATAAGTGGTGATATGCATAAAACATGCAATATTAAACTGTATACCAGATAAATTAAGAAAATAAAGGGGAATTTATGGTTTCCAAAGCAGTGCAGTGTATCATTAGTGGTTGGACCTGTTTCTTTTGCATACAGAGCTCTGGTTGTTTTAAGCGAATTTCAATTGCCTCTGCTGTTTGTAATATTCGGTAATGATAGGCTTTTGTAAATTCGATTGGTACCCTGTAAATGATTCAGAAACATTCTACAATACTGCCTTAATTGCCTGTTTGGACAAGGTAGTTTATGAATTTGACTGCTTCTGTGAAGCCAGCTACATAGGCTGAACAATTAGGCGTGCTTTTCATCAGATTTCTAAACACCATCTCGTGTGGTTAAGTAAGGGAGGAACAACTTCCTTTCATAGTTCTGTACTGTCCCATCTCGTAGATACAGGACACAAAATTGATGTAAACAAGGTCTTGAAAGTCATTTACCATATACCAGCTAATCGTAATTTTACCTTAAGAGTTCGTCTATTACATATTGCTGAGGCTATTAGAATCTACATTAAAAAGCCTGATCTGTGTGTCCAAAAGTAATTGGTTCAAACGCTTTCCTTAACATTGCCATCAAGGTTTTAATGATCCTTAATTTGTTGTAGAAAATTCCTAAATTTTATTTAATATTCTTGATTGGACACTAATCAGTAACTAGTGTAATGTGTCTAGTCCTATCTTCGGTGCAGACTGAATTCTATCAGTGAAGCTTGCAATGTGGCCACCATACTAGGTGGTTCACCATCACGGTGCACTGTGAATTGTTGGCATTAGATGGTCGGAGGCAATTAGCAGGATATTCTATTTACAATTACATTTTTATGCTGATTATAATTTGATTATAATTAAGTGTAATTATTATAATTAATTATAAGGAAAAGGAAATTATCTAGAAGAATATTCTTGGCTCAAATTTCCTTTTGTCTTTTAGTAGAGAACTCTTGAAGGCTTTCACCACACCTTTATTCAACCACAGTGCTGTGTTTCCGAGGACTGAAGACTAAGTTCTTAGAGTAACAACTAATATAAATGACTCCACAGGAGCTGCTGAATTAATAGACAATGAAAGGTGTCTAGCTTAGGTACCTTGTCTTTCAGTCTAGAAATCACAACCGATCGTGTGAAAAAAGTAAGCTGCAGCCTACTGGGCATTAAAAGTCCTTCGAATCGATCATCTCAGCTTGTTGGTTATTATTTCGTTTGGAATATCACCTATGAATTGCAGTCGTAGATGTTAAGACTTGTTGTTAGCAGATACGGAAGAATACTTTCCTACTGTCTTGGCCATAGGTTTCATGATGAACTTTCCGGGGTGGCTATTTTCAATTAACATTTGATATACAACCTTAAGTTCATTTTTAATCATTAGTTTAACTAAATTTACACTGATTCAATTCTTTTTTTCTTCTTCTAGTTAATGGGAAAAGTCAATATGTCTAAAAAGGTTAAAGAATTAGACGAAGCAGAAATACTAATGGAAATGTCAGAAGAATATTTAAACAATTATTTACATTCCACATGCGATTCTGATGATGAAATTGTCAATGAAAAGATTAAGTCAATTTTAAGTGAACCTGAGGTTTGTGAATCAAGTCAGTGGCCCAGTGTTCCAGATCTCAAATTAAGTAAATTCAGTACTCTGAGTCGACATGTTAGCAATGAAGTGAAATGAAGGGTTGACTGAAACATATGTGTAACTTTATTTTATTCTACAATTATATGACTTATTTTCATTGTTTAATACGGAGATTTTCATCTTAAGGATCTATGATCATCATATGACACAATGTTTCTTGTTGTTGAATATTTGCTGTTTTACTCATAACTGCTATTGTTCACACAATAAAGTCTCCAACTGTGCCATCTGTTCCTTTGAAATAATTTTCCACTAATTGTTATACTGCCTATTGTTTAAATTCATTTTTTTCTATTCTAATGTCAGATTTTTTTTATTCCATTACTTCCTCAGTAGAACATCGGGCTTCAAGCTAGAGGCTTGAAGTTTCGATAGCAGTGGCGTTTAATTTCAGGGGATGGGGTTGCTAGCCTCATGTCCAACCTTCCCTCTGTACCAGTCTTATTAGTGGCTTAGCGAGGTAAAGGAGTGCGTCGGTGGCCGGGGATCGAACCCCGGACCATATACGTAGTTGGACAACATTCTACCGCTGTGCCACCAACGTACGTATCAGATTAACTAACTATTATAATTGGTGGGGAAAATTTCATCGTAAGACTAAATTCAGTGTTATAATTAGAGACTACTTAGAAATCTCATCGATGTCATTTAGTGAATAATTAATAATAATAACAACTTTATTCTGCACAATTAGTTTACACAGTATTCAAAATTTTCAGAATAGTTTATTGCATAACATTTTCTATTCATCCGGGAGTTTCAAGTGAAACAGTCACCTCCAGTATACCATGTGATTCAATGCCGTTTTATCTGAAGAGTAAATTAATCCTTCATGGAATTTTTCTTTGGTCTCCCAGCAATAAGCAATGGTAAGTTGAAAACCAATTAATTTATTATTGTTTCCTTTAATTCCTAGGGAAACATAGGGCTTCAGCCGTGCGTCTCCATTGCGTTCGCTTCTCTGCTAGAGTCTTCACCTGGCTCCATGTCTGCCCACACGTTTTCATCTCCTCTTCACATGACCTCCTCCAAGTCACCCCAACCTTGCACTGACGACCAACTCGCCGCTTCCCTTTCGGGTTCCACTCGAGCAATGGCTTGTCTAGTGATGTAACTTGATGGTTTCCTCAGAGTATGGCCAATCCATCTCCATTTCTTCCTGCCTATTTGTTTCACAATCGGTTCCTGCTGTGTTGGTTCGCTCATTGCCAGAGATCTCTGTTGCTGATCTTTTCTGGCCAGCCATCTGATCTTGAGTGGTATTGAGCGAAGACAACTGTTAATGAAGGTCTGTAGTTTGTTTGAGATGCTCTTTATGACGCGCCAAGTCTCTGATCCGGGAAAACCAATTAAAAATGTGCATAAATACATTTAGCAACCTACAGATATAACTAAGTGATTATTACAACAAGAAATTAAGATGCATTGTCTCAGATGAAAATTCAGTTAGGCTAGTAATTCGAGCAGACTAACTTGATTTAATTGGAGTCATAAAAGTTTAAAGGTTTTAGTAAAATCGTTATTAACTTTTCTTTGAAAAGTCAACTAATTTCTTTATCAGTATATTCGGGATATTCTAGCACTGCATGGGGGTACCATATATACATATATGTATATTGTATATGCTCATCCCATGAGCACTATTATTATAATTACAATACTATTTGTAAGTGGTAATTCTTTAACCACACAGTCTATATAGAATGACAGAGAATTTGTTATCAAAGTGATATGTATAATAACAGAAGAATAACTCTATGAGTTACTGCTTTATCATTTGAACAGTACTCCTCCTTAGACGACATTCTCTTATTAATTGCACTTTTTCTATAAATGACAGCAAGGATAAGTAGACTTACATTGGGTATGGAGATATTACTTAATCTAACAGTTTGTGTTGAAACGTCCAACAGTAAGTTCCATCTTTTTATTCTTGTCTTACAACTCTGGAAACGCTTGTAACTAACTGCACAGCATGTTTTCATTACACCGAAATAAATAACTGCTTAGTTTTGGGGGACTTGCAAGGAATTTGCCACATTTCAGTTTGTATCTAGGATGTATCCAGCATGCTCAGTCGAATAAATCAAGTGTTTTAAGTCATATTACTACTGCCTACCTGAAGTTAATTATTCATTCACTTATTTTATTAAACTCATAACTTGGAAAAATTAGCTACCTTTGAAAAACATGGATAATTGAAATCATTTCATTCTGGAAACCAACACATTTAACGGGGACTAATGAGAACTAGGAAGCGAAGAATAAATATTTCTTTTCTCAGTTTGGGACTGTCCGGTGGTCTGCCACCCCAACATGGGCTGAAATCAGGGCCTTCAGTTTACAAAGAAATCAGTTAACCATTCAGTCATTGTGTTGAAATCTAGTATCTTATTAAATCGGATCTCTCTATTAGTTTGCAATGCAGCACTGTTTCCTGATTAAATCTACCTTGCAATCAATAAAATTTCCAGTAACCTAAAACTTGAAAATTATTCCAGTGTTCAATAGTGACTGACTATGAGACGAATGTTATGAGATTCTAACAAGAAGTAGTTACTTGTGATGTGACTGTGAGGACAGATACTCACTGACACTGAGTGATTGTAGCCCTATATCCCAAAGCAGAAGAAGGTGAAATCCATGAGACTGGATTTTTAGCACTGTGGAGGAGTTGTAATGTGCTCCTCTTAAAATCTATGGGGACTAGTTTTGACATCTAGTACGGTTATGGGTGAGCACTCTGAAGACCATCACAATGCGACGGAAAGACTTTCCAATGTTCTGTGGTAACTTATATTCAGTTTAAAGTACCGTACATTCATATGAATAATGTGCCGTCTAGAGAATCAGAAACAATTTGTGTCTTAGTTCTGCTAGATTGCTGAAAACTGAGTAAATGTGCTTCATCGGAGGCTAAGTTCTTTCACTTCACTGAGCTGTGTGATAAGAGTCTCAGTTGTTGATAATTTTTAATGAAACAATGTAAAGTACTACAGAATAGCTTTCTAACATTAGAAGTTTGAGTTGGTTTGCCTGTTTAAGATTATAGTTGGGTGAGAGAAAAAAATCGTCATTAGATTTTAATGCTTGTTGCTTTATTCCAGTAATAATATGAGTTTCAGTGAAGACAGAGATTTTAAAGAGGTGCGTCGGTGGCACAGTGGTTAGCACTCTCGCCGACCATGCACATGGTCCGGCGTTCGATCCCCTGCCGACGCACACCTGATATTAGTGGTCGGCCTGCAATATTTGGGCTACCGATATCGCATGCTGAGAATTTCATACTTGTACAGAAAATACGGTGTGGAATCAAGCTGTAATCAAAAATAAAAATAAAACAAAATAAAAAATTTATTTTAGGTATCATTCACCAATTCACTGCCTATAGTCTGCTATCCACAAACTATAATTGGTGTGTACATCTTTGCAGTATCTGGTTTGATCATTTATGTGATTAATATGCAGCTAACCGTATCGTAGGATTTATCCGACTTATTCTGCTTTACACAGTTCTATGTTACTGATAACCTTCAAGCAGTGATTTCACTTTATATACTACTGAATAATTCTGAACTGGGGAAGACATGACTGATAAGTTTAATCGATCGGTTTTCAATCAGTCTGTCCCTAGTCCAAATCTCTCGAGTATTAATTAGGAAGAAAAAGTTAGTCGAAAAGGTTATGAAGCTGCACCGATTGAAATAGTTAAGAGAAGTATCGTGCATACCAAGCCATTGCTTTTTCCGTTGAGTAATGTTATATTATTTGGGAGTGGGCTGGAAGGGACTGGTTGGGAGGTTTAAACTGCATGGCTGCAGAATGATGGTGATATCGCTCAGAATCACTCTTTGTGATCTCCTGTATTTATTAAATGATCATTAATCACCTTGATATTATTCCCTCTCCTTCATATTTGTATTTATTTGCATTTGGTCTTTTTTTGTGTGTGTTTCTCATGTATGCTTTGTGGGATGTAGTAACTTGATCTACTTGACTTCTGTGCAAATTCCCACGTTGAAAATTCACTTCAATTTTTCCATATTAGTTTGTTTATTAGGTATATCACACAGTGAAACAGTATTATTTACTGGATGACGTTTCGAACAAAATTTATTGTTCATAATCATATCAATTGTGATCACACGACTTTGACACTTGAGTTTTATAGCTTTCTTTGTTTTCTCCTATTTGTCGTAGGGGGAGTAGAATTTTCCAGATATCGGGGACAGGTGATGAATCATTCCTATTACATGTATTTGCAGTTGATTCGATAAACAAAGCTTCTGTTATCAATCTCTCCCTATACCCTGTGACATTAGATTTTAAAACTGTCATCCTATCCCATCCTATTGTATGGTTGTGTGTGACTGCATGTAGTGCTATAGCTGAACTATTCTCTAGATTACTTATTTTATTCGGGTCAACCAATCTAGATTTTGCTAAGTTTTTATGTTCAGCTAGTCTGACTGCCCCTGTTCTACTAGTTTGACCTATGTATTTGACCTGACAATCATTGCAGGGTATTAGATAAATTAAATTGCTTTGTTTTAAAGGCTCTACAGGATCCTTTAGCCGACAAAGCTTGTTTCTAATTGAGTTTGTGGGTTTGAATGCCGTTTTTATTCCTGCCTTGTTTAGAATTCTGCGTAAGGCTTCCGAGGTTCCTTCTTTGTATGGAATTACTACTGATGATTTAGACTCTTTATTGTTGGTGTCGTTATCAATATTATTATTATTGTCACTATTATCATTATCATTATTATTGTTATTATCACTATCGCTATTACCATTATTTATTTTATTTTTACATTTCCTTACATATTTCCTGACCAATTTATCCGGGTAATTATTAAGTTTCAAGGCTTCTTTTATATGTATCAGTTCTTGGTTTAGATTTTCTTTGGTACTACTTAATTTTTGTGCTCTGTTATTTAAACATTTCACCAATCCTACTTTTACTGACATAGGATGGGATGATTGGAAGTCCAAATATCTGTTTGAGTGTGTAGGTTTCCTGTAAACACTAGTGTTTAACTTCCCATCTTCTTTCCTCTTTACGTTGCAATCTAACATTGGGAGTTCCCCTTCCTGATTTTCCAATTCATAAGTGAATTGAATTGCCTCAACCTTCGAGTTTATGTGTTCGAAAAACCTATCTATATCTTGTGTTCTAAGTACAGTGAATGTGTCATCTACGTACCTCCACAAAGAAAGCTATAAAACTCAAGTGTCAAAGTCGTGTGATCACAATTGATATGATTATGAACAATAAATTTTG